AAGATGGAGTCTCACCTTGTCTCTCAGGCTGGAGTGTGAAGTGCAGCGGTGTGATCTTGGCTCACTGCAAGTTCCGCCTCCCAGGTTCAAGCAATTTTCTGACCTCAGCCTCCTGAGTAACTGGGACTACAGGCACACGATGCTATGCCCAGCTAATATTTTGTATTTTATTAGAAATGGGGTCTCACTGTGTTGCCCAGGCTGGTCGCAAACTACTGAGCTCAGGCAATCCATCTGCCTTGACCTCCCAAAGTGCTGGGATTACAGGCGTGAGCCACTGCACCTGGCCAATAACAAAATTTTTAAAAAACAGCTTCACAATAAAATTTTAAATGGACATTAATGTAACTTATTTAGACCTGAAAATCCAAATCTGATAGATTGTGACCCTCTTTTTTTTTTTTTTTTGAGATGGAGTCTCTTTCTATTGCCCAGGCTGGAGAGCAGTGGTATGATCTTGTCTCACTGCAACCTCTGCCTCCCAAGTTCAAGCAATGTTCATGCCTCAGCCTCCCGAGCAGCTGGGATTACAGGTGGCTGCCACCATACCTGGCTAATTTTTGTATTTTTAGTAGAGATGGAGTTTACCATGTTGGCCAGGCTGGTCTTGAACTCCTGACCTCCTGTTCTGCCAGCCTTGGCCTCCCAAAGTGCTGGGATTACAGACATGAGCCACCATGCCCGGCCTGTGACCCTTAATAAAGGGCACACAAATGATTTTTCTTTAAAAAAAGCAGACATATTCACTGTAGAATATTGTGAAACAGAGACAATAGCAGCAGTAGAAGGAAGATGACTTATGCCTGCATCATTGAGAGGTCACTAGCACCAAAAATTTTGGCTCATGTCTTTATTATCCATTTATATGTCTACCATCGAATTCAAATATGTATATGTATAAATATATAAAATTTATAAAATAAATGGCATCATCCCACTCACAATAACTTAAAATAGAACCTGTGTGTGTGTGCTTGTGGCTGGGTGTGGTGGCTCACACCTTTAATCCCGGCACTTTGAGAGGCCAAGGTGGGCAGATCACTTGAGGTCAGAAGTTTGAGACCAACCTGGCCAACATGGTGAAACTCCGTCTCCACTAAAAGTACAAAAATCAGTTGAGCGTCATGGCACGTGCCTGTAATACCAGCTACTTGGGAGGCTGAGGCAGGAGAAACACTTTGCAGGGAGCCACGATCACCCCACTGCACTCCAAGTTGAGCGACAAAGCAAGACTCCATCTCAAAACACCAGCAACAGGCCGGGCACGGTGGCTCACGCCTATAATCCCAGCACTTTGGGAGGCCAAGGCGGGTAGATCATGAGGTCAAGAGATTGAGACCATCCTGGTCAACATGGTGAAACCCCGTCTCTACTAA